ACACTAATCTCCCGAAGCTCCTGAAAATGTCTCAAGAACTCCTATTTTGCACTCTCCCTAGCAATTTATTCTACAGATACTTTCTGATCATCTACCGTGTGCCAGGCACCATGCCGGGTACCAGGATGCCACGGTGAGGTATGCCAACCTCGCCTGACCACAACGTCGGCGCTCCAGTTCAGAGTCTGCGTCCACGCTTCGGTGAGCCACAGTCCGTGGGCCTGGCGTTCGGTGTCAAGCCTGCGTTTTTATCAGGTGCTCCCAATGATTCCTACGCTCTAACGGGTTTGGGAGGCAGGGGTGAGGGGAAGCTCGAGAGCCTAGAGCCATCCCATCCCGTCCAGCGGGACCTCCCACCTCTCAAGTCCTTGGGGCTCAGCATCCTTCCCCCTAACTGGGGGCCCGAACACCAAACACGGTGATGAGCCACCGACAGACTTGCTCTCCTCCGGGGACGGAGAGCTCACTCCTCACAAACCCCACGCGGGAAAGAGCCATCCCGGCTGCGCCGACACCTGTCTCCCCGCGGGTGCCGCCTGCCGCTCCCACGGAGTCCGATCCCCAGGTTCCGCCCCAGGGGTCTGGGGTCAGGGGGAGGCGACCTGCGCGTTAGGCACCGACTGTATACCGCCCCCCTACCCCCCGATGCGCGCAGGCCAACACCCTCATACACCTACACACACCCTCACACACCCCCCGCGGAAACTGAGGCAGGCAGTCGCAGGACCAGGTCCCGCCGCCAGACGGCTCGCGGCTGGGATCGAACCCGGACCGCGAGACGCCTTCCGCCTTGCAGGCGGTCCTAAGCCGCTGAGGCCCGGCCCGGCTCCCACCGCCGGAGTTTCACAAAGAAAGTCTCCCGGCCCGAGCCCCTCACGGACTCACCGGCGCCGACGCCGGCGGCGACTCCGGCTCCCGTCTCCTTCGACTCCTTGCGGGGGTCGGCCCTGGGGTCGACTCGGGCGCCGACGGCGGCGACTGCTCCATCCCCACGGGGCCCGGGCCGCGTCCGCCTCGAGCTAACGGTCCCGCCAGCTAGGCGCGCGCGCCGGTTCCGCGCGCCATGTTCCCGCCGTGCTGCGCGCCGCCGCAGCGACCTCATTGCCCCCCCTCCACCTCGCGCGCACCCCCGCGGGCCCACACACGCACCGCGCACGCGCGCGTTCGCCGCGCCCCCTCCCCGCGCGCCCTCTGGAGCGGGCCGCTGTTCCCACTGTCGCGCCCACCCCCGCCGGGCCCGTCCTACTCGGCGGGTGAGCGTGCAGTTCCCAGCTGCGCGCCGCCGCCTGCCTCTCTGCGGACCGCCCCCGCCCCTCCGCCCCTCCGCCCTTTCCCCACACTGCCCCTTTAGCTTCGCCCGCCACGCGGGGCCTGGAACGAGGGTGCGGGCCAGGAGGGACTTCTCCGCAAGAAGTGCAGAGCAAAGGACGCCACTGAGGGGGCGGGATCGCCATCGTGGAGGTGTGCCCGGGTGCGGAGACAGCCAGACTCGACGGAGAAGCTGATTTCAATTCCCACATCTCCACTATCCCGTGCGTGTTAGGGTCAGGACTTCCGGACCTGTTTCTCGTAAATCTAAGGACTCACTGTAGTAATCCAGAGAAACTCAAGCACCGGGCCTAGCACTTGGTAGGCAGTGATCAAGAGACAAGACCTCTTAAGTAGTTTTAATGGTTAAGGACCACAGTTCTCCAGAAAGAGAACTCTCAATTCAAGTCCCGCCTCCACCTCTTGAAAACAGAAACCTTAAACTAGTCACTCAGAGGAGCCAAAGATCCTTGATTTCTGCACGTGCAAAAGGGGAGTGTGGCAGTCAGCACTGCACAGGGTTGACTGAGCTTTCAGGAAGATGATGCCCGTACAGTCATGCCTCTCTTAACCACGGCATGGTTCTGAGAAGTGCCTCTTTAGCTGACTGTCTCATTGTGCGAACAGCAAAGTGCACTTACACAAACCTTGTATATCCTACTACACACCTAGATTGTATGGCATAGCCTATTGCTCCCAGCCTACACACCTGTACAGCCTGATACTTTAGTGAATGCTATAAGCAGTTGCAACACAATGGGTAAGTACTTGTGTACCTGAACATAGAGAAGGTACGGTAAGAATCTAGGATAAGGAAGTTTAAAATGCCTTATATTCCTGTACAGGGCACTTACCACTTACCTTACACTTACCATGAGTATAAGGTAAGTATAAGGGCACTTACCTTATACTCCTGTTTAGGGCACACCACTCCAATCTCTGCACAATGCTATAGTTTGAATGTGTCCCCCAAAGTTCATGTGTTGGAAAGTTAATCTCCAGTGCAACAGTGTTGAGAGGTGGGACCTTTAAGAGGTGATTAGGTCATGAAGGATCTGCCCTCATTAATAGAGTAAGGGTGTTATCTCAGCAGAGGGTTAATTCTCATGGGGGTGGATTCCTAATAAAAGGATGAGTTCAGCCCCCTTTCTCTCTTGATGTGATGCCTTCTACCATGGGATGACACAGCAAGAAGACCGTCACCAGAAGCGGGCCCCTCAACCTTCCCAGCCTCCAGAACTGTGAGAAATAAATGTGTTCTTTATAAATTACCCAGTATCAGATTTTGCATAGCAATATAAAAAAAAGACTAAGACACTCAGTCATCATCATATTGCCATCTCCCCTGACCGTTGAGTCCCTCTGGGACACTGGGCCCACTGGTAACATAGGATAAGCTCCCATCTCAAGATGCTTAATCACATCTGCAAAGTCCCTTTTGTCATGGAAAGAAACATATTCACAGATTCTGGGTATTAAGAGTAGGACACTTTGGAGGGGCCATTATTCAGCCTACCATAGAAGATACATGAGAGGGAGTTAATACAAAATGCTCTAGAAACAGAGAAGGGCCAGCTAACTCTGCACAAGTGAGAAAAATGTCCCAGAAAACCACAGCCTCCACATTAAATATTCAAATGAGCTAAAACCCATCTACTTGGCAATCTCAGCCTCATTCTTTAAATATGCAAACCACCTAAATTCCCATCAAACGCCCTACACCAGGCCAGCCAAGTCTCAGAATGCTTATACAACCTTCTATTGGAAATTGCCAACCACCACCCCCATTTCCTAAGTAAACAGCTGTGTGCCCTTGACCCTGCCCTGACTGAATCGCCAGTGGCATTTGAACCATGGCACTCAATTCATGCCATGGCCAGCGAGCTATGGAGTGCCCTAGCATCAACCAGGCGAAGTTATAAAAGCAGATTCAGTGGAACGTTAATTTTAGAGTCAAAAAGACCTGGGTTGGGTCCCAGCTCTGCTGTTTTTTAGCTGTGCGACATCAGAAGTTACTTTCCTCCTCTAACTTTGGGTCCCTCACCTGTGACATGACAGTGGAGGACCTCACTCACAGAATCACTGTGAGAACAAGAGCAGCCAAGGAGGTAAGTCTTTGCACAGGGCCTCCCTGGTCATTATTGGGTCAACATGACATAACTGACCACATGGCTCATCTCCACTTCCAAAACACAAACAGCTCTCAAAACAAAGTCATTGTAGCTCATTTGCAAGAAAAGGCTGATATGAACCAATATGCAACTACCTATAATCTTTCTCTATCCTTCTTACTGTGAATATTTGCTGTGGAAATATTGAAGTTTGGGTACGGGACTCCACTGGGGTGCTACACATATACATCATAGTAGACGTGCCTCATCGTCTTCCTAAAATTAGATAATTTCACAACTTATCTAGCCCAAAGGTTTCAGAGACTGTAGACATGTATCTTTATGAGGGCAAGGATGAGAATGTAAACTGGCCTGTTAGTATGCACCAAGGTACCTGCTGTTCTCATGAAGATGTTGGTAGACAGCCAGCCAGTCTCTAAAAACTCCACCCCCAACCTCACTATGCTCCTTTCCCTGGAACTTTCCACAGGCCCTTAAAATTTATATTCAGCTCTCACAGGCTGAGACCAGGATGACATCCTGGGAAACCTGCCTAGTGATAGCCAAGGTGTAGCTCCAGATGAAAGACACACAACTTTAAATATAAAAAAGGCATTCAGGGCTGGGCACGGTGGCTGACGCCTGTAATCCCAGCATTTTGGGAGGCCGAGGCGGGCAGATCACAAGGTCAGGAGTTTGAGACCAGCCTGGCCAACTGGTGAAACCCCGTCTCTACTAAAAATACAAAAAATTAGCCAAGCGTAGTGGCAGTCACCCGTAATCCCAGATACTCTGGAGGCTGAGGCAGGAGAATAGCTTGAACCTGGGAGGCGGCAGTTGCAGTAAGCCAAGATTGCGACATTGCACTCCAGTCTGAGCAACAGAGTGAGCCTCCATCCAAAAAAAAAAAAAAAAAAAAAAGCCATTCAGGCCAGGCGCATTGGCTCACACCTGTAATCCCAGCACTTTGGGAGGCTGAGGCAGGTGGATCACCTAAGGTCAGGAGTTCAAGACCAGCCTGGCCAACAAAGCAAAACCCTGTCTCTACTAAAAATACAAAAATTAGCACCTTCGGAGGCCAAGGCAGGTGAATCACCAGCTCAGGAGATTAAGACCATCCTGGCCAACCTGGTGAAACCCGGTCTCTACTAAAAAAAAATAGAAAAAATTAGCTGGGCGTGGTGACGCATGCCTGTAGTCCCAGTTACTTTGGAGGCTGAGGCAGGGGAATTGCTTGAACCTAAGCAGTGGGGGTTGCAGTGAGCCGAGATCATGCCACTGCACTCTAGCCAGGGTGAAAGAGTGAGACTCTGTCTCAAAAAAAAAAAAAAAACAAAAAACAAAAACACACACACACACAAAAAAAACAAAAATTAGCCAGGCATGGTGGTGCCTACCTGTAATCCCAGCTATTCCGAAGGCTGAGGCACAATAATTGCTTGAACCTGGAAGACAGAGGTTGCAGTGAGCCGAGTTTGTGCCACTGTACTTCAGGCTGGGTGACAGACTGAGACTGTTTCAAATAAATAAATAACAAAGCCATTCAACTAAAGAACTGATTATCAAGCAGAAGCACAAAGCCCAGTTTCCATCAGGTTTTTAATTGTAAATCAGTGACAGCGAAAAAGCAATTATCCCATAATTAAAATAGAAACTATGAAAAAAAGACTTAAAGAAAAGAAAGATGACAGTGAAAGAAGGTCCATGTCTTTCATGTTCAAACTACGGGGTTCACAACACAGCAGCACACACAGCTGGGCGCTTTGTGGTCTCAGCACCCTCGGCTTCCCCTTCATGGGGCCGCTTTCGACTAGTAGAAGGCTGAAAATAAAGGAGAATGGAGAAATGTTCAATAGAAAATCACTGGCTTCATTAAGATTATCTAAGTTCCCCAATATGCTTCCAATACAGTGGGGGCATTTAATGTGACCTCTAGTATCAAAAATTACTGGTTGTCATCATTGACAACTGAGTCGCCACCACAGCCCCCAACTCAGACATGCTTATCTAATAGATATTTCTCTCCCTTATGGCTTCTGACCTCTTAATGATGTATACTGAAAGCAAGCAGCATAACCAAATTCCTCTCAATAACCTTCTAAATATCAAGTTTAAAAGGTATATAATACTTCTCAGTTGAGCCGGGCGCGGTGGCTCAAGCCTGTAATCCCAGCACTTTGGGAGGCCGAGGCGGGTGGATCACGAGGTCGAGAGATCGAGACCGTCCTGGTCAACATGGTGAAACCCCGTCTCTACTAAAAACACAAAAAATTAGCTGGGCGTGGTGGCGCGTGCCTGTAATCCCAGCTACTCAGGAGGCTGAGGCAGGAGAATTGCCTGAACCCAGGAGGCGGAGGTTGCGGTGAGCCGAGATCACGCCATTGTACTCCAGCCTGGGTAACGAGCGAAACTCCGTCTCCAAAAAAAAAAAAAAATACTTCTCAGTTGAAGCCCCAAGTCTTGCTCTTTTGCAGAAAGACAATCTTTGTGCCTTAGTTGTTTTCCCATATATAAACTTGGGAGGAAGGCAGGGTGAAGTGGCTCACGCCTGTAATCCCAGCACTTTGGGAGGCCAAAGTGTGCAGATCACTTGAGGTCAAAAGTTCAAGACCAGCCTGACCAACATGGCAAAACCCCATCTCACCTAAAAATACAAAAATTAGCTGGGCATGGTGGCAGACACCTGTAGTCCCAGCAATGAGGGAAACTGAGGCAGGAGAACTGCTTTAACCCAGGAGGCAGAGGTTGCAATGAACCAAGACCGTGCCATTGCACTCTGGCCTGGGTGACAGAGTAAGTCTGTCTCAAAAAAAAAAAAAAAATTGGAGGGGAGGAAACGGTGGGAAAAAGGAGAGCTACCTACCATTCACACACACACACACACACACACACACACACACCACCAGGACTAGAATTAACTATGCTTACAAAGAACATTAAAGAATAAAATTATAATCAAGGAATCAACCACTGACTCAAATTTTAATTTTTCCAACAAATTTATATTTGAGCCTCTAATAGAGTATTTCAAAATTGCCTTGCAGGTGACCTGTTGGATGACAATCTGTAGCTGTCAGTATCTGTCTATTATGTGTTAGATATTAAACATATCCTGATTTTTAAATCTGAGGGTGCTGGAGTGGATCCAGTTAAAACAGTATGTACTACATTATAACTAAATGTTAAGCAATTGCTACTCAGGAAAATCTTCAAACTCATCATCTTTGCTTATCAGCTCTTTAAGCCCAGACTACATTTTGTGACCAACAGGAATACGAATACCTGGGCTAGAACCTGGGGTACAGCTGCAGATTCATTTTCCTCCGACAGTAGATGTTGAAATTTTCTCTTCATGTCTTCATCCTGTGAGGGAATTAGAAAGTTAAGTAGCTGTATCTGAAGGACAGAAAGCTCCTAGAATGACAGGGCTAGCGTGTCCTTGGAAAGAGGGAGGAAATATCCACTCCGTCTAAGAATCATCCCCTTGATGAAGCTCCCACAGTGAAGGCATCATTGTCCCCCTCTACCTTCCCAGAGGAGTCTAATTAGCAGTCAATGCTCCATCCATCCTGGCTGACTCAAATCCACATGCCTAAAAGCTCTCAGTGGGTCAATCACAGCCTCCAGCAGTCAACGGTTTCTGAATCAGTATCCCAGATCCTGAGAAAGAAGGCAATCAGGGGGCCAGAGACTGGGCTCGAATCCGTGCAGCTCCTCAAATCCTTCTGGGACCACTCTCCACCCCCTGCCCCTGCTATGAATGAGGCCAGTCACCCAGGCTGTCCTAACAACCAGCCCAGCACGCTAGGAAAATTCACCCAGCAGCTGCCATACAAACTGTCAGAAATACTTCAAGCCCACAATATCCCAGAGCTCAGGTCTAGTGAGAAAGGGAGACAATAAATAGAACAAAGCATTACAGGTGTTTCATGCTGCAGGGTTCAAGGATTTGCATTAGGAAACCCTGAGAGGTGGCTTGGTGCAGTTCTCCCATCTTCAACAAGGTGAAAGGAATAGCTATAACTAGGAATGTGGGCTTCGAGTGCTGGCCAGAAGCCCAGCTCAGCCACTCACAGGTGGCATGTGCAGAATACAGACCCAGAGTTATCTGATTCCAATGTCTCATGTACTTTTCCACCTAACTCCAGCCCCTCCTCCCACTGAGCCAAACATACCACAGTAAGCAATGGAGAGGACACAGTAAAGTCCTCCACCATTTGACAATTTGATGGATATAGAAATTTCACGACACTAGGTTGGGCATGGTGGCTCATGCCTATAATCCCAGAACTTCGGGAGGCCATGGTGGGAGAATTGCTTGAGGCCAGTAGTTTGAGACCAGCCTGGGCAACATAGTGGGACTTTGTCACTACAAAGAATTTAAAAATTAGGCCGGGTGTGGTGGCTCACACCTGTAATCCCAGCCCTTTGGGAGGCTGAGGCAGGTGGATCACCTCAGGACGGGAGTTCGAGACCAGCCTGAGCAACATGGTGAAACCCCATCTCTACTAAAAATACAAAATTAGCTGGGCTGGTGGCATGCGCCTGTAATCCCAGATACTTGGAAGGCTGAGGCAGAAAAATTGCTTGAACCTAGCGGGTGAAGGTTGCAGTGAGCTGAAACAGTGCCACTGCACTCCAGCCTGGGCGATAGAGACTCTGTCTCAAAAAAAAAAAAAAAAATTTAGTCAGACACGGTGGCATGTACCTGTAGATTCAGCTACTTGGGAGGCTAAGGCAGAATAGCTTGAGCCTGACAGTCATGGTAAAGTGATCATGCCACTGCACTTCAGCCTAGGTAAGAGAGCAAGACCCTGAGGAAGGAAGAAAAGAAGGAAGGAAAAGAGGGAGAGAGGGGAGGGAAGGGGAAGGGAGGGAGAGGAGGGGTAATTTATAAAGAAAAGAGGTTTAATTGACTCACAGTTAAACTGAAGTGACTCACAATTAATCGAAGGGAAGGGGGAAGGGGAGGGGGAGGGGGAGGGGAGAGGGAGAAAGGGAGGAGGGGAAGGAAGGTGGGGGAGGGGAGGGAAAGGGAGGGAGAAGCAAGGAAGAAAGGAAGGACCAGGCACAGTGGCTCACACCTGTAATTCCAGCATTTTGGGAGGCTGAGGCAGGGCAGATCACTTGAGGTTAAGCGTTCGAGACCAGCCCGGCCAACATGGTGAAACCCCATTTCTACTAAAAATACAAAAATTAGACAGGAGTGGTGGCACAGGCATCTCTTATTTTCCCCTATACCTGCTCGTGCCACAGCCTCGACCAGAAATGCCCGCCTTGTTTTCCCGCCCATTCACCTGACCCACCTTCCTCATTCAGTGAACAAGTATTTCCTAAACACCCTTAGGTGTCATGCACTCTAATAGGCACAGGGCCTCCATATCAGAAAGATTCAGCGTTTGAAAATGCTGACCTGCTTATCCCCCCTATTACTGCCAGGCCATTTAGCCCTAAGACACTCTACAGACTGTGTGAAGGTATGAGTACCCCAAGTCCCATGGGCAGTGGCCCTGCCTCTTCTATGTTTAGAAGCATACTCTGCACCTACCCCTATTACCACATGTATCAAACCCCTCTGTAATGTTTATTCCTTTTGTATGCACAGTGCCTGACAGTGCTTAACACACAAGTTCATTAACTGTGCTCTGAAGAAATGAATGAATGAACATACAAAACCACAATGGAATGCCCTTCACCTGGCAGCCCTTCAGAGTCGCCACAAGCCTAATCAAGCCTATATTTAAAACAAGTAATCAGGCCAGGTGCAGTGGCTCAGGCCTGTAATTCCAGCACTTTAGGAGGCCAAGGTAGGTGGACCACCTGAGGTCAGTCAGGGGTTTGAGACCAGTCTGGCCAACATGGTGAAACCCCATCTCTATTCTAAAAATACAAAAATTGGCTGGGCATGGTGGAAGGTGCCTGTAATCCCAACCACTTGGGAAGCTGCTGCAGGAGAATCACTTAAACCTGGAGGCAGAGGTTGCAGTAAGCCGAGATTTCGCTATTGCACTCCAGCCTGGGAGACAAACGCAAGACTTCATCTCAAAAAACGAAATAAATGAATAAATAAAAACATTGATGTCCTTCATGATGTCTACAATTATTCCAAAATATTCAATTAGCTAAACAGTGGCTCATGCCTATTATCCAAGCACTTTGTGAGGCTGAGACAGGAGATCTCTTAAGGCCAAGAGGTCTAGGCTGCAAGTGAGCTGTAATTGCACCACTGCACTCAAGTTTAGGCAACAGAGGAAGACCTCGTCACCAACAATAAATAAAATAAAAAGTTAAGTATAATATCCCTTGAAAGCAAACAGAAGAAATCCTCTATTTCAGGCAGTAAACATGAGGCAGACAGTAAATATAAGGGACACTCCCAAAACTGGGCACTCTGTGAATGACAAAACAGAGACCAGAATCTACATTTCCAATATTCTGTCCAGCACCAAACCCACAAAACCGTTTGGTTGCTTCAAAAACACTGAATTTTCCCAAAATAAAACCTCAACTATCACTAACATGTTTTAGATGGTTAGTCTTCATCCTTTTCTTCAACGTTCCTTCCTCCTTTTGCTACAAAAACAAAAGGTGGAGAAAAGAGTATTCCAGGGAGACCCTGCAACAGAGTTGAACTTCACCTTCTCCTTGGTTGTTAGTAAGTTTTCTTTGATTGGCCGGGCAAGGTGGCTCAAGCCTGTAATCCCAGCACTTTGGGAGGCCAAGGTGGGTGGATCACGAGGTCAAGAGATCGAGACCGTCCTGGTCAACATGGTGAAACCCTGTCTCTACTAAAAATACAAAAAATTAGCTGGGCGTGGTGGCGCGTGCCTGTAATCCCAGCTACTCAGGAGGCTGAGGCAGGAGAATTGCCTGAACCCAGGAGGCGGAGGTTGCGGTGAGCCGAGATCGCACCGTTGCACTCCAGCCTGGGTAACAAGAGCGAAACTCCATCTCAAAAGAAAAAAAAAATTAGTTTTCTTTGAGACAAAGAAGTACAAAAAAAAAAAAAAAAAAAAAAAGGTTATGCTTGCTCATACATTTCAGGCAGATGCAAACCTTGTTCCCAGGCTCAACTGGCCAATTCTTTTTTTTTTTTTTTTTTTTGTTAGAGACGAACACAGCTCCTGTACCTCTACATTTGGACCCAAGAGTTTCCCTATTAGGACACATGAAAAGAGCCAAAAGGCGTGTTTGTCTTTTTCATCAGAATTAAATACCCACATGCAAAGGCACCCTTTGTTTCCAAACTCCTTTCCTCCAGGGTCCTGCTGTTTCAAATCTGTGTGGTCTATTAAATGGTAAATCATCTGACAGATTTCTTCTGGGAACACTGCAGTTTCCAGGGCGACATCCAAAACACATATATCCTTTTTTTGGGGGGAGGGGGGGGATTTTTTGTTCTCAACCTGAGCTAGCCTGAGCAAAACTGTCAGGTGTAGAGGATTGGAACAGAGAATGGGGAGTCTTCCCAGAGTCCCAGAATTACAGGGCTGAGGCTGGATTGCCCAAGGAGTGCCTGAACCAGTAATCCCCAGAGAAAAAGCACATAGCTCAAGTAACAGCCTCTAGTTCAAGCTACCTGGTTCGGTCCCCCAACTGCACAGAAAACAGACTGATACGGTTTGGCTTTGTGTCCCCACCCAAATCTCATCTCAAACTGTAATAATCCCCAAGTGTTGAGAGAGGGACCTGGTGGGAAGTGACTGCTTCATGGGGGCGGTTTCCCCCAGGCTGTTCTCCTGGTAGTGAGTTCTCACGAGATCTGACTGTTTTATAACAGGCTCTTTTCCCCCTTTGCTTCCTTCACATGTTCTCTCACCTGCTGCCATTAAGAAATGCCTTCCTAGCCGGGCGCAGTGGCTCAAGCCTGTAATCCCAGCACTTTGGGAGGCTGAGGCGGGTGGATCACGAGGTCAAGAGATCGAGACCATCCTGGTCAACATGGTGAAACCCCGTCTCTACTAAAAATACAAAAAAAAATTAGCTGGGCATGGTGGCACGTGCCTGTAATCCCAGCTACTTAGGAGGCTGAGGCAGGAGAATTGCCTGAACCCAGGAGGCGGAGGTTGCGGTGAGCCGAGATCGTGCCATTGCACTCCAGCCTGGGTAACGAGAGCGAAACTCCGTCTAAAAAAAAAAAAAAAAAAAAAAAAAAAAAAGAAATGCCTTCTTCCCCTTCCACCACGATTGTTAAGTTTCCTGAGCCTTCCCCAGCCATGTGAAACTGTGAGTCAATTAAACCTCTTTTCTTTATAAATTACCCAGTCTCTGGCAGTTCTTTATAGCAGTGAGGGAACAGACCAATACACAGACTAAAAGAAAATTAATAGAAAGAGGCATGGCTGTGTTGAATGGAACTGCTTATAAGAGAAGACCAGACATCTATCAGAAAAACCTGCCCAATGCTGTAGCTAATTCCAAAACTAAAGATTAACCCAGCAAAGCCACAGAGTACTTCCAACTCTGGCAGTTCCAAATGAGGTCAGCATATAATAATGGCAGCCCCAACCCCTAGCAGGAACACAGCGATAATACAGACAAAAGGTGCACGTGACAGCCTTCACTAAGGGCATGTTTACTCACCTCGTTGAACAAGCAGTGGGACCCTTTATACCTAGTCACTTGGGCTCGAGAAATAGCTGGATTCTCCCCAGGGAGGCTGCCCTCCACCTCCCCCAGCTTCCCCGATTTAAGGTTGAAGATGGCTGGAATGCATCCCACCTACGGGGACTGGTGGACATGGCTAGGGGTGGAGCCAGAACAAGCCCTCAAAGGAACAGAGGCCAAACTGGGAACTCAGGGGAGCCAAGTGGAAGCAGAACAGAACATAAAGTGAGCTGTACATCCAACAGCCATGAGTAACATCAAAAAGGTTGCAGCCTGGCCAACCTGGCAAACCCTCACCTCTAAAAAAAATACAAAAATTGGCCAGGCGCGGTGGCTCAAGTTTGTAATACCAGCACTTTGGGAGGCCGAGGCGGGTGGATCACGAGGTCGAGAGATCGAGACCATCCTGGTCAACATGGTGAAACCCCGTCTCTACTAAAAATACAAAAAATTAGCTGGGCATGGTGGCACGTGCCTGTAATCCCAGCTACTCAGGAGGCTGAGGCAGGAGAATTGCCTGAACCCAGGAGGCGGAGGTTGCGGTGAGCCGAGATCGCACCATTGCACTCCAGCCTGGGTAACAAGAGCGAAACTCCGTCTCAAAAAAAATAAAAATAAAAATAACAAAAATTAGCTGGATGTGGTGGTGCACACCTGTAATCCCAACTACTGGGGAGGCTGAGGCATGAGAATCGCTTGAACCGGGGAGCGGAGGTTGCAGTGAGCTGAGATCACCCCACTGCATTCCAGCCTGAGTGACAAAACAAGACCCTGTCTCAAAAAAAAAACAAAAAAAACGTACGCACAAAAAAACAGGTTATAACCCATCATGTAAGATACCCCCCATACATCTAAAATAATTAAATTAAACAGACCCAGCAAAGCAAACATGTTTCTGTCCTCTGCCTCATGTCTTTCAGGCAGCAGGGTTCCCATGTATTTTATGCTAGCAGGCACTGTTCCACACCCACCTGAAGCCACGGGTGTCTTAAGGCTTCTTCTGTCGTAAAACGTGCCTTTGGATCCACCACCAACAACTTCTTGACAAGGTCCAGAGCTAAAACAACAATTGGGCAAATCACAGCAAAAAGGATAAATATATTAAGTCAGCAATATCACAGTATGCCAGAATTAACAGGCCGTCATCCAGAAAGAGCAGAGAGGGTCTGAGATCATCACAGAGTCAGCAGACAGGGCCCCCTAATCTTCCTGACTCTCTCTATTCAGAGTACTGTGAGAAGACCAGGAATGATAATGACACTCCCCGTCTCCTGCTGCTTGGGATGTCAGTGAGGAGCTCTTAGCTGCCCGTTCCCTCTCTTGCTGCTACACTCAAGGTCAAACAAATTAAAGCTGAACTTCCACACAATTCTAAGATACTTGGGATGCACAGCAAACTCTCCCGGACACTCAGAGATTGATGGGTGAGAGTTACTCAGCCAGGGGGAGGTTCCTTGGAACTGCAGACTTGTCAGAAATAAAACTTGACACTCCAGCAAGCAACAAATGCACGCTGGCTTGTATACTGCAACCCTATTGTTCCTTAAATATTCTGACATTTAACACAAACATCTATATTATTTGACATTTAATTTTCTACTTTCTCTTCAGGGAACTAAAGTTGCCAGGATAAATAATAAAATAGAAGGTAACTAATGACATCTAGTTTTTATATGCTTACTTACTCAAAGGAAACCTTGTAACTAAAAAGTTACAAGTGCACTTACTTTGCTCACTAAAACAGGTACCAGGCACTTGTGTACATTATAGTTAGCCCTCACGAAAACCTTTTAAGGTAGGGGTTATTAAGGATCCCTTTACAGAGAAAGAAAATGGAGACTGGAGTTAAATAACTTGCCTAAGGCCACACAGCTAAGTAGTAGCAGACCCAGGACCTGAGCGCATGCTCTTAATAATTTCCAGTGCCTCTCAAATGGTGTGAAACTAACAATATAAAATAAGAACAGAATTGACAGGAAAAAACACCAAGGAATTTGGAAAGAAACTCCCACTACAGCACATACACATTTTAGCTTACCACAAATTCTTAACCATTTTGTATTCATACCCTCCTCTGAGACCTCTGTCCAGACTTCAGGAATGAAGTTGTATTTTCCACTGGTGATTTGATCCTTCAGTGACACCTGAGTCCTATGCTCAGAGAAAGGTGGATACCCACTAAGGCTTAATATTGGTAGAGAGAGAAAGGAAAAGAAATCAAGTGGCATTGTCAGTAGCATTCAGATATATAGGTTTGTTTTTCAGCATAATAAAAAGTCACACTTTTCTTTAAATCAATGGTCAAAAAGTGAGCTAGGCTAGGCACAATGGCTCATGCTTGTAATCCCAGCACTTTGGGGGGCTGAGGCAGGAGGATCACCTGAGCCCAGGGGTTCAAGATCAGCCTGGGCAACATGACAAAACCCCATCGCTACAAAAAAATAGAAAACTTAGCTAGGCATGGTAGTGTGCGCCTGTAGTCCCACCTACTTGAGGCTGAGGTAGGAGGATCACTTGACCCAGGAGGTAGAGGCTACAGTTAGCCAAGATCAAGCCACCGCAAGCCAGCCAGGGCAATGAAGCAAGACACATTTGTGACTTCATCTAATCACCTCCTACCAGTCTGCGAAGCACTGAAAATGTTTCTTACCAGATAAAAAGAATAACTCCTAAACTCCAGCAGTCCACAGCACGGTTATACCCAGCAGTCCCGACAGAAACAAGAACTTCAGGAGCCAAGTACGTGGGGGTTCCACATAAAGTTCTCATGAGAGAGGTCTCCCCCAAAATCTTGGAGTGCCCAAAATCAGTAATCTAAAATTCAGTACAAAAGGGAATAATGTTGAACTATGTCATAAAACAAAAAGAATAATATAGTTTGCCAGTCCAAGAAGACACGTAGGCTAGATTAGTTTCTATTGTAAAACTCACACCTGCCATAAATCTGGAATCTACAGATTCATGTCTTTGCAAGTTAAGACATTTAATTTTGTTTAAATTAAAATTCCTGAGCCTAGGAATCTCAACACTGAGGCTTTCCAATTTAACCTAACCTATGTCCTCTGTAATCTTACAAAAAGCTTATAACGATTATCACAGATACTTCAGGATTCTAATTAGTTCTATGTGGTTCTCAGACCCCACTGTCTCAAACTTGGCTCCACTATGGAATACCTGGGGAGCTTGGACACACATTCTTTTATTTTTTTTTTTGAGACAGAGTTTCGCTCTTGTTACCCAGGCTGGAGTGCAATGGCGCGATCTCGGCTCACCGCAACCTCCGCCTCCTGGGCTCAGGCAATTCTCCTGCCTCAGCCTCCCGAGTAGCTGGGATTACAGGCACGCGCCACCATGCCCAGCTAATTTTTTTTTTGTATTTTTAGTAGAGACGGGGTTTCACTATGTTGACCGGGATGGTCTCGATTTCTCGACCTCGTGATCCACCCGCCTCGGCCTCCCAAAGTGCTGGGATTACAGGCTTGAGCCACCGCGCCCGGCCTGGACACACATTCTTATACCTGAATGCCACTCTCAGCTTCTGAGGTGAAGCTTGGTGTCATAAATCCTAACAAGAGATTCTAAAGTGATGCCAGGCTTGAGAAACAGGGAAATGCAGGGTATGTGATTATTCATTCATTCATTCACTTATTTTGAGACGACATCTTGCTCTTTTGTGCAGGCTGGAGTGCAGTGGTGCAATCTTGGCTCACTGTAACCTCTGCCTCCCAGGTTAAAGTGATTCTTACGTCTCAGCCTCCCAAGTAGCTGGAATTACAGGCACACCCCACCATCCTCAGCTAAATTTTTGTATGTTAGTAGAAATGAGGTTTTGCCATGTTGGCCAGGCTGGTCTCAAACTCCTGACCTCAAGAGATCTGCCTGCCTCAGCCTCCCAAAGTGCTGGGATTACAGGTATGAGCCATTGCGCTCGGCCCACTTGTCCATAGACCCTTCCTCTCTCTCTGAGCACAAAGGTCACTTATACACAAGAGAGCTTAATAAATGCTCATTAAAATCTGGGTAAGAGCAGTATCACCTGATCTCTAAAATAACTGATAAGAGTGAAGGAGAGATATCCAAGATGGCTGATCACTAGCAGCTCGGGATTGTAGCTCCCAGTGAAAGCGCAAAGAACGAGAGGACGCCACACCTTCACATGAATTCTTGCTGCTCACGCACCAGGAGATTCCCAGCGGAGGAGCCCCACGGGTCGCTAGTGCGACTCTTGTGACCGGCGAGGCAGTTTTGCCGGCGCCTCGGAGCATCGGTTTTTGATGCAGAGTCAGAAAAGCACCATCAATCTTAACGCCGCTGATTTAGTCGGCGCAGTGGGTTGCTCAGATTTTGGCGCTGAGAATCAATAAGTTGGACGTCCACTCAGAAACCCAATTACAAAGACGGTAATTATAAAGATCACAAATGGATAAATCTACAACGAAGGGAAGAAAACAGCTAAAAAAAGGCTGAGAATACCCAAGATCAGAACGCCTCTCCCTCAGCAGGGGATCCCAGTTCCTCATCAGCAACGAAACAAGGCCTGATGGAGAACAAGTGTGTTCCAATTACAGACGCAGGCTTCAAAATGTGGATAATAAGAAACTTCTTTGAATTAAAAGAACTTGTTCTAACCCAATCCAAAGAAACAAAGCACTTTGAAAAAAGGTTTGACGAAATGTTAATAATAATACACAATTTAGAGAGGAAATAAGTGAATTGATGGAGCTGAAAAACACAATATAAGAACTACGTGAAGTATGCACAAGTTTTAACAGCCGAATTGATCAAGCAGAAGAAAGGATATCAGAGGTCGAAGACCAACTCAATGAAATAAAACAAGAAGACAAGATTAGAGAAAAAAGGATAAAAAGGAACGAGCAAAGTCTCCAAGAAATATGGGACTATGTGAAAAGACCTGATCTACGCTTGATAGGTGTACCTGAATGTGACGAAGAGAATGAATCCAAGCTGGAAAATACGCTTCAGGATATTATTCGGGAAAATTTTCCCAACCTAGTAAGGCAGGATAATATTCAACTCCAGGTAATACAGAGAACACCACGAAGATATTCCTCAAGAAGAGCAACTCCAAGGCACATAATCGTCAGATTCACCAGGGTTGAAATGAAGGAGAAAATACTAGGGACAGCCAGAGAGAAAGGTCAGGTTACCCACAAAGGGAAGCCTATCAGACTTACAGCAGATCTCTCGGCAGAAACCCTACAAGCCAGAAGAGAGTGGGGACCAATATTCAACATCCTTAAAGAAAAGAACTTTCAACCAAGAATTTCACATCCAGCCAAATTAAGCTTCATAAGTGAAGGAAAAATAAAGTTTTTTGTGAACAAGCAAGCACTCAGAGATTTCATCACCACCAGGCCTGCTTTACAAGAGCTTCTGAAAGAACCACTACACATAGAAAGGAACAAACAGTATCAGCCTTTCTAAAAAATACCAATAAGTAAAGAGCATCAATATAACGAAGAAAAAACTAAAACCCATCAGTATGCTGCATCCAGACCCATCTCACATTCAAGGATACACAAAGACTCAAAACAAGGGATGGAGAAAGATTTACCAACCAACCAGAGAGCTAAAATAAGTAAATAAAAAGCAGAAGTTACAATTTTTGCCTCTGATAAAATAGTCGTTAAAGCAACAAAGATCAAAAGAAGCAAAGAAGGACATTCTATAATGATAAAAGGATCAATGCAACAACAAGAAGAGCTAAAGATCCTAAATATATACGCACCCAATACAGGAATACCCAGACATACAAGACTAATAAAGAGACTTAGACTCCCACACAATAATAGTGGGAGACTTAAACATTAATATTAGACAGATCAATGAGACAGAAAATTAACAACGATATCCAGGACTTGAACTCAGATCTGGAACAAGTAAACGTAATTAACATTTATAGAACTCTCCACTTTAAATACACAACATATACACTCTTATCAGTACCACATCATATCAACTTAGAAGTTTAAACGAAATGTTGGTTGGCTCCTTGTTTGTTATTCTCTTCCCTCATTTTCTTTCATGTCTCCATGAAAGAAGGACAATTATAGGCATACCTATATTTAGACTGCATTCTAGCCCAGGCAATAAAGCAATACCCCCATTCTCTCTCCCTCTTCCTCTTCCTCTTTCTTCCTCTTCTTTATTCTTTTTCAAAAAAAAAAAAAAAGATTTCAAAACCTTGACTTGTGGAAGATCATGGATCAGTTTGAGGACTCTGATGTTTTTGTTTTATTAGGCATTCCAGATGCACTACTGGTTTTTTTCCCCTAGAGAATATAATATTGTATCCATATTGTATTTTTGTTAACTGTAAAATTACTTCTGTAGTTACATAATTCATTTATATCATTAATTTGTGACTTATAGGTAAGTTAGTGCCTCTTTGACAATAGCGATTATTGGTTTGCCTCTCAACACCCAGAAGAATGTGGGAATGTAACTCACTCAGCACAAATCTAATGATTTTATTTGTTTTTGTTAATTTAAAAAATTACATTTATTGTGGAAAAAATAAAGAATGAAAAGGTCAGATTCTCAACCTTTTTATGCTCCCACCTTTTTATTTGAGGAATTAAAAGTTTCTAAACAAGAATCTACAGGAATAGCCACATACAAAATGCCAATTTCTTACCTTTATAAGACAGTCCTCTTCTTGAGATGACAGTAAAACATTCTCTGGCTTTAAGTCACGATGTATAATACCGTTTTCATGAAGGTACTACACAGAAAGGCAGTCATGACCCTCAGATTCATGCAGTAGATACTTAAGTAGAATCAAAGTTACCAACATACACATCTCACAGCTGGCTGAAACCATAAACCGTGATACACACAACCATATTCTCCAAAATCATAGAAAACTGTTGGGGTAAAGTTTACAAATTTGTTTGAGAGGATCTTTAAAAAGCAGGGAAACGGGCCGGGCGTGGTGGCTGAAGCCTGTAATCCCAGCACTTTGGGAGGCCAAGGCGGGTGGATCACGAGGTCAAGAGATCGAGACCATCCTCGTCAACATGGTGAAACCCCGTCTCTACTAAAAACACAAAAAACTAGCTGGGCATGGTGGCGCACGTGCCTGTAATCCCAGCTACTCAGGAGGCTGAGGCAGGAGAATCGCTTGAACCCAGGAGGCGGAGGTTGCGGTGAGCCGAGATCGCACCATTGCACTCCAGCCTGGGTAACAAGAGCGAAACTCCGTCTCAAAAAAAAAAAAGGCTTGTGGGCAGACATGGTGGCTCATGCCTATAATCCCAGTATTTTGGGAGCCCAAGGCGGGCGGATCATTTGAGGTCAGGAGTTTGAGACCAGTCTGGGCAACATGGTGAAACTCCATCTCTATTAAAAATACAAAAATAAAATTAGCCTGGTGTGGTGGTGAGCACCTATAATCCCAGCTACTGGGTAGGCGGGGGCAGGAGAATCACTTGAATCCAGGAGGAGGTTGTAGTGAGCTGAAATCACACCACCGCACTCCAGTCTGGGCTACAGAGTGAGACTCTGTCTAAAAAAAAAAAAAAAAAAAAAGACAGTTCCACTGTCACCTAGGCTGGAGTGTAGTGGTATAACTTCAGCTCAGTGCAGCCTCAACCTCCCAGGCTCAAGCCATTCTCCTACCTCAGCCTCCAGAGTGGCTAAGACCACAGGTGCATGCCACCATGCCTGGCTATTTTTATTTTTTGTAGAGATGTAGGTCCTACTATATGATCCAGGCTGGATCACAGTGGCCCGATCTTGGCTCACTGAAACCTCTGCCTCCCAGGTTCAAGTGATCCTCCTGCCTCAGTCTCTCGAGTAGCTGGGATTACAAGCACACACCACCTTGCGCAGCTAATTGCTGTATTTTTAATAGAGACAGCGTTTCACCATGTTGGTCTCTTGATGTCGTAATCCACCCGCCTCACCTCCAAACTGCCGAGATTACACACGTGAGCCACCACGCCTGGCCAGTGAAATCTTTTTCATCTCAGTGAAAGGAGTAGGATGTTTTTGCTAAGAGAACAGTAAACACACAGATTCTCTTCTGAGTTTTAATGCATGGTCCCTAGATTTCTGCCTAATTCTGAAAGTAATTCACCTAAAAGAAATTCAGCTGTCAAAATTGAGGGCTTCTCTTACCTGTACCGCTAAGAGCATCTGGTAAAAATAGAGCTTGCAGGTAGCTTCTTTTAGGCGTTTATTCCCTACCACTTTGTCGAACAGCTCACCCCCTTCCATCCTGAAACACACAGGCAAAGCAAGGGGTTCATTCCTGGGGGGAAACATACTTGGACAGAAGATAATAAAACAAACAAAACAAACTCATTAAGACAAGCAAACAGCTGACATTTTTATTCACTTTTATTCCATTTTTAAAACTAATGAGGTAATAGGCCTTATTCACAATCAGATGTTCCAGTTGGAAACTAATGATGAAAGGAGTGAGCATTGGAGGCAGTTGGGGAACTTTAAAAAACCTGATCCAGGCCGGGCGCGGTGGCTCACGCCTGTAATCCCAGCACTTTGGGAGGCCGAGCCGGGCAGATCACGAGGTAAAGAGACCGAGAACATCCTGGCCAACATGGTGAAACTGCGTCTCTACTAAAAATGCAAAAAAATTAGCTGGACATGGTGGCGCGCGCCTGTAGTCCCAGCTACTCGGGAGGCTGAGGCAGGAGAATTGCTTGAACCCAACAGTCGGAAGTTGCAGTGAGCCGAGATTCATGCCACTGCACTCCAGCCTGGCGCCTGGTGATGGAGTGAGACTCTGCCTCAAAAAAAAAAGGCTGGGCGCGGTGGCTCAAGCCTGTAATCCCAGCACTTTGGGAGGCCGAGGCGGGTGGATCACGAGGTCAAGAGATCGAGACCGTCCTGGTCAACATGGTGAAACCCCGTCTCTACCAAAACTACAAAAAATTAGCTGGGCATGGTGGCACATGCCTGTAATCCCAGCTACTCGGGAGGCTGAGGCAGGAGAATTGCCTGAACCCAGGAGGCAGAGGTTGCGGTGAGCCGAGATCGCGCCATTGCACTCCAGCCTGGGTAACAAGAGCGAAACTCCGTCTCAAAAAAAAAAATCTGATTCAGTAGTTTGGAGGTGGGGCCCAGGAGTCTGCTTTTCTTTTCAGACAGAGCCTGGATGTCACCCAGGCTGGAGTACAGTGGTTCAATCTTGGCTTAGTGCAACCTCTGCTTCCCAGGTTCAAGTGACTCTCATGCCTTAGCCTCCCAAGTAGCTGGGATTATAGGTATGCACCACCATGCCCAGCTAACATTTTTTTTTTTTTTTTTTTTTTTTTTTTAAGTAGAGACAAGGTTTTGCCATGTTGGCCAGGCTGGTTTCAAACTCCTGGCCTCAAGTGATCTGCCCACTTTGCCCTCCCAAAGTGCTGGGATTACAGGCGTAAGTCATCAAGCCCAGTCAGGAGTTTGCATTTTTATCACATACCACAGATGATTCTGAGACTGACGTAGAAGAGCAAAAAGAAATTTACAGACAACCAGGATTTGAACCCCAACTCTACCACTTCCCAGCTTTTGGACTTTGGGCAAGCTATTTAACTTGCTTAATAGCTGAGCTTGGGCCAGACCCGGTGGTTCAAGCCTGTAATCCCAGCACTTTGGGAGGCTGAGGTGGGTAGATCACGAGGTCAAGAGATCGAGACCATCCTGGTCAACATGGTGAAACCCCGTCTCTACTCAAAATACAAAATATCAGCTGGGCATGGTGGCGCGTGCCTGTAATCCCAGCTACTCAGGAAGCTGAGGCAGGAGAATTGCCTGAACCCAGGAGGCAGAGGGTGCGGTGAGCAGAGATCGCGCCATTGCACTCCAGCATGGGTAACAAGAGCGAAAGTCCGTCTCAAAAAAAAAAAAAAAAAAAAAAAAAAGTTAAGCTATAATTGATGTAGGAAAAGCTCCTGGCACAAGTGTGTGGCAAGGTTATTCTATCTGTGATGCATTTTCTCTTTCTTTTAAAGTGGGGCTAAGCATAGTAACCCATCTATAACCTGTAAGTAATCTGCAGAACTGTTGTGAAGAATGAGTCAACCTATGTAAAGCACTTACAGCATTACTTAGATTACAATCAGTGCTTAATAAATATCAGCTACTATCTCAGCCCACCGCAACCTCTACCTCCTGGGTTCAAGTGATTTTCCTACCTCAGCCTCCCAAGTAGCTGGGATTACAGGCATGCACCATCATGCCCAGCTAATTTTGTATTTTTAGTAGAGACGGGATTTCTCCATGTTGGTCAGGCTTGTCTCGAACCAGGCTCTCCTAGTGCTGTGATCAGGGGGCTGTTGTTTACCATAAAGTCTATTTTCTTTTTTCTTATATTTTTTGAGACAGTCTTACTCTGTCCATCGCAGCTTACTGCAACCTCTACCTCCCAGGTTCAACTGATTCTCGTGTCTCAGCCACCCAAGGAGCTGGAACTAAAGGCATGTCCCCCCACACCTGGCCAAGTTTTATATTTTTAGTAGAGATGGGGTTTTGCCATGTTAGCCAGGCATGTCTTGAATGCTTAGCCTCAAGGGAGCCGCCCACCTCAGCCTCCCAAAGTGCTGGGATCACAGGTGTGAGCCACCACACCCGGCCTGTTTTCTATACAGTCATAATGATCACAATGCATAGATACCATTTGCCAGCCAGAAGCAAAACATTCTGTGCCTCCCACAACAGCTGCTCCCAGAAACACTTAATATTTATGCAGGAGCAGATATCAAGACAGGCATCTTCAAGAAATGAGACAGGAAGTTATTCTGATTATACCAAATAACACAAGACATTATCACCGTTGAAATAAACTACCAAGACACAGAAAGATCCTCAGATGCCACCATGCAACCTGGTCCTAGGTTGAAAGCACCTGGGTAGAAAGGCCTACCCAGGTAGATATTTCAGAGCAGTCATCCTTCAGTATCCATAGGAGATTGATTCCAGGAGCCCCCTAAGATACCAAAATCCATGATCCTCAAGCCCCTTATATTTGCATATAATCTATTTATATCATCTCACATACTTTTTTTTTTTTTGAGACAGAGTCTCACTCCCGTTGCCCAGGGTGGAGTGCAGTGGCACGATCTTGGCTCATTACAGCCTCGACTTCCCAAGCACAGGTGATCCTCCCACTTCAGCCTCCTGAATAACTGAGGTTACAGATGTGTGCCACCATGCCCAGCTCATTTTTTGTTTGTTTGTTTTGATAGAGATGGGGTTTCAACATTATTACCCAGGCTGTCTCTTGTATACTTTATTTTTTTAATTTTTTGAGATGGAGTGTCCCTCTGTGGCCCAGCCCAGGTTCAAGTGATTCTGCTTCAGCCTCCCAAGAAGCTGGAATCACAGATGTGTGTCACCACACCTGGATAGTTTTTGTATTTTTGGTAGAGATGGGGTTTTACCATGTTGGCAGGCTGGTCTCGAACTCCTGACCTCAGGTGATTGCCCACCTCAGCTTCCCAAAGTGCTGGGATTACAGGCGTGAGCAACTGCACCCAGCCCTGCATACTTCATATAATCTCTAAACTACTTACAAAACCTAACAAATTGGCCGGGCGCGGTGGCTCAAGCCTGTAATCCCAGCACTTTGGGAGGCCGATCTCGGCTCACCACAACCTCCGCCTCCTGGGCTCAGGCAATTCTCCTGCCTCAGCCTCCTGAGTAGCTGGGATTACAGCCACACGCCACCATGCCCAGCTGATTTTTTTATTTTTAGTAGAGACGGGGTTTCACTCACTATGTTGACCAGAACGGTCTCGATCTCTTAACCTCGTGATCCACCCGCCTCGGCCTCCCAAAGTGCTGGGATTACAGGCTTGAGCCACCGCGCCCGGCCCCCAGATAATTTTTGTATTTTTAGTAGAGACGGGGTTTCTCCCTGTTGGTCAGGGTGGTTTTGAACTCCTAACCACATGATCTGCCCGCCTTGGCCTCCCAAAGTGCTGGGATTACAGGCGTGAGCCACCGCACCCAGCCGGCATTTAATTCTTACAAGGACTCTACATGTGGGGGTACATTATAATCCCCAGCTAACACTAGGAAGATGAGACTCAGAGAGATGAAATAAACTCACCCATGGGTGGTCAGCTTGTCACCTGCAGGGTGGAATTCAAGCCCAGGTCACAGATCCAGGGCCTGGAATCCCATACCACCTACCTTTGGAAACATTGGAGAGTTTTTAGGATTAATATTACCCCCCCTATACACAGACTTTGTGGGCCCCACTACTACATACATATGTTGAGGTCCCCCAATATGAGAAAGGCAAGCCTACATTAGATTCTTTGGTGGCTTTGTAAGCATTTGAAAGGGAATAGAAATTTTTAAAAAGTTTGCTACTTACAATTCCAAAACAAGATAATAATCTTCTGCATCAAAAAAGTTTTTAATCTTGATGATGCAAGGCTAAGAAGAGGGGGAGAAAAAAGGGAAAGTAGTGAGAAACTCCCAAGAGGAAAACCACAAGAGCTTAGAACTTCTGCCCGGAAGAGCAGGGAGGCCAAGACCAGGCATTTGGCTCCCTGCCTCCAGAGGCTTGAAAGTTCACTCAGGGGAGAAGGCAGACAGAGTCTAGCCAACTCCTCAGTGAGAGCATGCAAGAAATTTTCCACCCCGCCATGATGATGAGAGACTAGTTCATATTTCACAGGCAAGGATTTTACCTAGCAATGAAGGCTGGGTCTCTTCCCAGTCTGCTTCCTCACTGCCCCAGAGCAAAGGTACTCAAGGACAGCCTAAGGAACCCCGAGGGAGACTGACAAGTAGCATGAATAAAAGCGGTCAAGCAGGAGCCCAGCCATGCTCCCGAACAAGGATTATTTAAGCTCTAGGCAAGAAACTCCAGGCAACCAGATCTCATGGGACAAGATCCTATCATTTTTCAAAGGAAGAGAAGAATTCTAATTTTATAAGAACTCTAAAACACACTTAGAGCGGGGGTCCGAGAGAGAGAGAGAGAGAGAGAGAGAGAGAGAGAGACAGACAGACAGACACACACACACACACACACACACACACCCCTATGGCTGACAGTTCATGTTCTCTGATCAATGCCGGGTGCGGGTGCATGGAAAAACACTGAGGGTAAGGGAGAAAGTACTGCACGTTTTTAAATGCCTACACAATATCATGATTTTATACTTAGCACACCTATTGTGGTTTAATTTTTCTTTTTTTTTTTTGAGACAGTCTCACTTTATTTTTTTGAGACAGAGTCTCACTTTGTCACTCAGGCTCAAGTGCTCACTGCAACCTCCGCCTCCTGGGTTCAAGCGATTCTCCTGCCTCAGCCTCTTGAGTAGCTGGGACTATAGGCATGCGCCACCACATGCAGCTAATTTCGGTATTTTTAGTAGAGAGAGGGTTTAACCATGTTGGCCAGGTTCATCTCGAACTCCTGGCCTCAAGTGATCCACCCACCTCCCCTCCCATAGTGTTGGGATTACAGGCATAAGCTACGACACCTATATTTTTATAATACAAAGGACAGTAGATAGTTAAGCAAGGTGGGTAAATAAAAGATTTGGTGTGTATTTATCAGGGACACACATCCCAGCAGAGGAGGATTGTAGTTGTATCAGTATTAAAGAGAAAAGAACCATCAGATTTTTTTGTTTTAGACTCAAGAGTGATAAAACTTCCCAGACTAATCTTCTTATAATGTATATTTCATCATATTAATCACTCATCACTCTATTAAGATCCTCCAGTGGAACCTTCCCACAATGAATTGTTATATAGCAATGAATGAACGCCCAGTTTTCCAACCATAGATGGGTCCTGGAAGCATAATGTTGAATGGAAAAGGCAAGTCACAAAAGACTACAAAGAGTATGATACAGGTTGAGCATCCCACATATAAAAATACAAATTTTTTTTGAGACAGAGTCTCACTGTGTTGCCCAGGCTGGAGTGTGGTGGCATGATCTTGACTCACTGCAACCTTTGCCCCCACTCCCCCAACCCCCAGGTTCAAGCAATTCTCCTGCCTCAGACTCCCGAGTAGCTGAGATTACAGGTGCCTGCCACTGTGCCCAGCTAATTTTTGTATTTTTTTTAGAGACAGGGTTTTACCATCTTGGCCAGACTGGCTTTGAACTCCTGACCTCATGATCCACACACCTTGGCCTCCCAAAGTTCTGGGATTACAGGAATGAGTCACCATGCCAGATTCCAAATCTTTTTGAGAAGTGACACAACACTCAAAGGGAATGCTCACTGGAGCATTTTGGATTTGACATTTTTGGATTTGGAATGCTCAACCAGGAAGTACAATGCAAATATTCTGAAATCCAAAAAGATCCAAAATCCAAAAACCTCTGGTCCCAGGCTTGTAGCATAAGGGGCATTCAATCTGTACCATTTTTATAAGGCTCAGAAACAAGCAGTAAAAACTATATTATTTAGGGATACATATATTTGTGGCTTTAAAAAAGCAAGGGACAGTACACATAGCATTCAAGATAGGCAGAATTACTTGAACCCCAGAGGCTGAGGCTGCGGTGAGCCAAGATCATGCCACTGCACTCTGGCCTGGGCAACAGAAGGAGATTCTGTCCCAAAGAAAGTAAATACACACATAGATAAATAAAGAAGAAGAAAAGGCACATATAGAAAAGGAATAGGCAGAAGGAAAAATGGGAACTGAGTGGTTCTCGTTGGCTTCATAATGGGCAGTGTCAGTACCTATCTGAAAATGGGTGGGGTCTGGAGCTAACAGAGCATGAAGAGGTGCCTGACAGAACCATTGTGAACTATCTCCTCTCGTGTCCACTATCTCCAGGGTCACTGGCTAGGGCTGTCACTGCTAAAAGTGTCTCTACCAGGAATCAGAAGCTACTAACCCACACCTTCCACTTAGGTCATACTGGGAAAGCAGTTCAGGGAATTAATGATCCCCTGTCACTCCCCAAGTGTGCTATCTGTGCTGAAAGCTTTACAAGCAAGTCTCTAAATTCTCACACTGACCTTGTGACATAAGTAGTCTTATTGTCTTCATTGTACAGATGAGGAAATAGGGGCTCCAATAAGTAAAATGAACTTCTCATAAATGACTTCTCAGCTTCTTTTTTTTTTTTTTTTTTTTGAGACGGAGTTTCGCTCTTGTTACCCAGGCTAGAGTGCAATGGCGCGATCTCGGCTCACCACAACCTCCGCCTCCTGGGTTCAGGCAATTCTCCTGCCTCAGCCTCCTGAGTAGCTGGGATTACAGGCACGTGCCACCATGCCCAGCTAATTTTTTGTATTTTTAGTAAAGACGGGGTTTCACCATGTTGACCAGGATGGTCTCGATCTCTTGACCTTGTGATCCACCCACCTCGGCCTCCCAAAGTGCTGGGATTACAGGCTTGAGCCACCGCGCCCGGCCTTCTCAGCTTCTTTAGTAGAACTGAGATGGGAACCCAGGTCTGTCTCCACACTAGACTAAAGTCCCATGAGGGAAGGGATGGACAGCTCTATCTGTGCTTACGACTTCCCTGGGTCCACAAGACAGGCTGGCACTGTAAGTGTTCAAAAACTGACCACATCAATCTCTGACTCCAAAGGCCAGGCTTTCTTGGCCACTAGACTCTACTCATTGTCCCAAAGCATCAAGATGCACTCAGGGGTCCATGTTTATTTCCCAAGAGTTCCATGGGCCCTGGTAAACTGCAAATAGATACATTTGGAAATTTTTTTTAGAGTTTTGAATTCTTCTCTATTGCACTGGACACCAGATTTGTGTAAATGTTGTTTCAAGATCATCTGACATCAGGGAAAATTCCCTGAGCATTTGTGTTTATCTTAAAGGTAGGTTTGATGCACCCCTACCCCAGAAAATTAGAGGGCTCCTCTCTCCCAGCAGGGTATGGTGGTACATTCCTGTAGTCCCAGCTACTCAGGATACTGAGGCAGGAGGATTGCTTGGGCTTAGGAGTTTGACGCTGCAGTGAACTATGATTGCACCACTGCACTGAAGCCTGGGTGACAGAGAGAGACTCTGTCTCTAAAAGAGAGAGAGTGAGAGTGAGAGTGAGAGAGAGAGAGAAAGAGAAAGAGAAAGAGAAAGAGAAAGAGAGAGAGAGAGAGAGAGTGTGTGTGTGTGTGTGTGTGTGTGTGTGTGTGTGTTAAAGAGAGACTCCCAATCTCTTGGAAAAAGGACCTGGCAAATTCAGGGAGGAAGAAGAATTTGCAAAAGAAACAGAAGAAAAACAAGCAGGAAGGTCAGCCACTCTGATTCTCCTGGGTTTTCAGGTCCACCCACTGAGTTCTAAAGGAACCTGCTAAATTATCAACAACAGTAATTGTTCCTCAGTTTCTACTGACTTTTTTGAGGAATTTTGAGAGGTAGAACAGAGAAGAAATCTTTTTGCTGTTTGGAGATTAAAAGCCAGAAAAAGATCATCATTAGCTGGACAGAAGAGAAGTCTTGCCTTGAGTTTAATGCCAGTGCTTATGCTTTCATGGGTACTCATGAATTAATGAAGAAACTGAAAGAACCAAAAAAAAAAAACAAAACAAAACAAAACCCAAGATAAGACTAAGCCCACCCTCTAATTTCTCTTCTCACAGTTTTATTTTTGAGATGGAGTCTCGTACTGTCGCCCAGGCTGTAGTGCAGTGGCACAATCTCACCTCACTGCAATCTCCGCCTCCTGGGGTCAAGCAATCATCCTGCCTCAGCCTCCTGAGTAGCTGGGACTACAGGCATGCGCGACCACGCCCAGCTAATTTTTTTGTATTTTTAGTAGAGACGGGGTTTCATCATGTTGGCCAGATGGTCTTGATCTCCTGACCTCATGATCTGCCCACCTCGGTTTCCCTAAGTGCTGGGATTATAGACGTGAGCCACCAAGCCCAGCCTTTCTTCTCACTTTTTAAAAGTGAGACACATTTTTCATTGAGACAGAATCATCACTGCACAAAAAGGTAAGAAATACTTACACCCAGCCAGGCGTGAGCTCACGCCTGTGATCCCAGCTACTCAGGAAGCTGAGGCAGGAGAATCACTTGAACTCGGGAGGCAGAAGTGGCAATGAGTGGAGATCATGCCACTGTACTCTGGCTTGGGCAACAGAACAAGACTCCATCTCAAAAGAGAAAAGAAGGAAAAGGCTGGGCGCAGTGGCTCACACTTGTAATCCCAGCACTTTGGGAGGCCAAGGTGGGCAGATCACCTGAGGTCAGGAGATCGAGACCGTCGTGAGTGACTAACACGGTGAAATCCCATCTCTACTAAAAATATAAAAAAAATAGGCCAGGCGCGGTGGCTCAAACCTGTAATCCCAGCACTTTGGGAGGCCGAGGCGGGTGGATCACGAGGTCGAGGGATCGAGACCATCCTGGTCAACATAGTGAAACCCCGTCTCTACTAAAAATACAAAAAATTAGCTGGGCATGGTGGCACGTGCCTGTAATCCCAGCTACTCAGGAGGCTGAGGCAGGAGAATTGCCTGAACCCAGGGGGCGGAGGTTGCGGTGAGCTGAGATCGCGCCATTGCACTCCAGCCTGGGTAACAGGAGCGAAACTCCGTCTCAAAAAAAAAAAAAAAAAAATAGCTGGGCATGGTGGCACACGCCTGTAGTCCCAGCTACTCGGGTGTCTGAGGTAGGAGAATTGCTTGAACCCAGGAGGCAGAGATTGCAGTGAGCTGAAAACACACCACTGCACTACAGCCTGGGTGACAGTGAGAGACTCCATCTCAAAAGAGAAAAGAAGGAAAAGGCTGGGCGCGGTGGCTCACACCTGTAATCCCAGCACTTTGGGAGGCCAAGGCAAGCAGATCACCTGAGGTCAGGAGATCGAGACTATCGTGAGTGACTAACACGGTGAAATCCCATCTCTACTAAAAATACAAAAAAAAAATAGCTGGGCATGGTGGCGCACGCCTGTAGTCCCAGCAACTCAGGAGGCTGAGGTAGGAGAACTGCTTGAACCCTGGAGGCGGAGATTGCAGTAAGCCGAGAACACGCCACTGCACTACAGCCTGGGTGACAGTGAGAGACTCCGTCTCAAAAAAAAAAGAACTACTTACACCCAACAAGGTCACAGACACCATTTAATCAGATCTAAGAACAGGATGTCTTCATACTTAATGGATATCCTTGGATTTATTTGGATTACTCCAAATAAAAGGTATTCAAAGGTATTAAAACTTCAGGTAAAACTAAGCCAAATTCACTAAAATTAGCACTGTCTTCTCCAACATAATCAGTTGATCAAATGTCTATGAGATAGAATAATTACTACGTCTTTTGGTCAAGAACTAACTCAGAAGAAATATCATGTAATTATTTAATCATGAAATCTTTATATAGTATTGTTCACTCAACATTTTGGAGTAAAATTCTTCATAGCTAAATGACAGCGAGGCACATGTGTGCATATACACACAAGTTAAAGAACCCAGTTTAATATTTTATTTTTTGAGACAAAGTCTTGCTTGGATACCCAGGCTACAGTGCCGTGGCATGATCTCGGCTCACTGCAACCTCCGCCTCCCAGGTTCAAGTGTTTCTTCTGCCTCAGCCTCCTGAGTACATGGGATTATAGGCATTTGCCACCATGCCCAGGTAATTTTTGTATTTTTAGTAGAGATGGGGTTTCACCATGTTGGCCAGACTAGTCTCAAACTCCTGACCTCAGGTGATCCACCAACCTCAGCCTCCCAAAGTGCTAGGATTACTGGTGTGAGCCACCAAACACAACCAGTATTAGCTTTATTATACTGAAAGGCTTTATACTCCTCTCATATTTTGAGATAAATAAATCTAAGTATGGGTCATATCTTCTTAATACTTACATGATTTAGCTTTTTCAAAATTTCTATTTCTGTTTCAACATTGAGAGCTGGGTCCTTTCATAAATAGAAAAACAGAGTTTATTAATAATAATTGCCAATATTTTTTAAAAATGTACAGTTAAACTTAGTTTACTCAATAAAGGCTGCCTGAGTTCCAAACCCAGCTCTATTCCTAAAAAGAAATCAAAGCCCAGAGGTCAATGACTTAAATACCTCACCTGAAATAACTTTGCAAAATCCTTGGCAAATAGTAAGCATTCAATAAATGCCAGGCCTTGTGCCAAGCTCTTTATTTAAATAAATGGCCAGGTCCTGTACCAAGCTCTGTATTTATATAGATCAAGTCTCATGAGCCTCAGAATCCCCAGCTGAAGGGGATTCTACAATTATCCCCATCTTACAGATGGGGCAAACAAGGCTCAGAAGACAGAATGCACTTGCCTCAGTGTCCACAGTCAGAAACAAGTGTGTTTCCACTGTGTTCATGTTTAATTCGTCAACCCTACTTATTAGCTATGGAACTATTTAAATTCATTAAAATGATAAAAAACATGGACAAGAAGGCGTTCAATTAAACTGTATAAGGAAAATGTTAATTCAAATTGCTACTAATAGAGCAGATACAGGTTCCAACTTCAACAGCAGGCTCACATGTTTTCTGAAACTCTGACAAGAGGAGGCTTCAGGGTACTAAAGTTGTTCTGTTACAATTCCAAAAGGATGAATCAAGTAACTCAACTTCCTGGGCTACACCCTCCGCAAGCAAAGAGGAGATAGAATTACATATTTATATAAAATGAACTTCAGCTAAGAAACCCAGATGTTTAATTTTAAGAGCCTGCCTCTTCCTGTAAGCCGCTAAACTCATTACCAAGTCAGGGCATATTCTGATAATAAAATAGTCACAAAGAGTCCAATCTGATTCAAAGAATGAAATCAAAAAGTAAAATTTTACTCCCAGTTAACAATCTAGTTGGTATTTTCTTCTCCTCAAAATGGGAAACAAATCTTAGAATCGCAGGGGAAAAGATCTATAACAAAGTGAACACAAAAAGGAAATTCTTCTTGCCATGTGAGAATGGCATTTTCTAGGGGGGAAAAATTGATCTTCAAAGAATGTGAAAGTATAATAGCCAGAAACAGCTGGTCGAAAAGGAAAATGTGATTAGGGGCTGTGTTTTACATTACTTTGTTGAGTAACATGTGGAAAGACCAATGCATTTGGCCATCTCTCCCATACAGTAAATGTGGATTACAAAAAAGTAGTAAACAGCTGCTATAAAGAAAAACTATGTCAATGATTTAACTAAAATTTTACAAATCTATGGCTAATCCATGAACCAAGGATACTCACTGCCATATTACCCAGAACGGCAAAGAATAAGAAATTACCTAAATGATCAGGCAGAGAAATTGTTAAATAAATTACAATAAAGTAAGTGATATGAAAACTCAGTCATCAAAAAGGATGTATTAGGGAAAAGATTTTGCCATAATGCATTTGTGGAAAAGCAAAATACAAAACTGTATATACAAGATGATTTCAACCATCTAAAAACACGATTTCATCTGAACAAAAACTAGGAGGAAAAGGAAAACTGAAAACAGCTGTGGGGTTACAGTGAGGATTATGGCTGAATTTTTTTCTCTAATTTCCTGTCATTTATTGTAAAAACAATCTTGTAACAACTTTGAACTTGGAAGGAGAAAAAAAATACTTCCCGCTATGCTCATTATTATGTACAATTAAATACTTGTGGAACCAAATTGTCTGTAAGTCAAAGTTTCTAGATTAATCAAAGATGCCTCCAAATTTTCCATGTTCTTTGATACTTACAAATTCATCCACCTAAGCAGGGAGTTGTTCCTGAGATTGAAGATCATCAATCTAAGATTATTTTGGGAAGTTATAAAGAAGTGTCAATACAAGGTGAGCAGCCTTTTATTGGTACTTACTGCCTCTCTTTCTGAACCAATGGCAAACTTCCTTTTGCTGATGATCTTTATGGCTACTTTCTTACATGTTTTCCTCTCGAAAGCCAGCTTTACCTCTCCACAGGCACCACTAGAGGGAAAAACAAAGACAGTGATTGTCTGAATGTTTTTAATTACGAGACCCACCACTCCTGAGTCCGATGCTTCAAGTATTACAATTTACAGACATTCCATGTAACAACCCTTCCATTGTCCCTATTTGCACAGGACACAGTGGAACTTCACCAATGTAAAATGTCAAGGGCTTAACAGCCAACAACACTAAGTCAGCTCCAAATTCCACTTTTGAGCTAAGTGATACAAACATGAGTCTTACTGCAGCCCTGGATTGTGAAATTCCCAGATACTAAGAGAAAAAATGAGAGAGAAATCACTTATCTGAGAGGTCAGAAAAACATTAACTAGAAACAGTCCTCCCTGGTCAAAATGAGTGCCCTAAACAAATAGCAGTAAACAAAGTCTGCAAATGAATAGCTTTAATGGATACATTTCTTTCCTTCTTATTTTCTCTCTTCAAAGGAAGTGCATAAGCAGTTGACAGCATGAATTGCACTTTAAATCAAATCAGATTACCTGAGAAAACAAAAGTATTACACAATTAGCCTACTATCAGCAACCTCTCACAGAGATTAGCAGTTAATTCGGATACTACTCATAGAGGAGGAATGCTATCCAAGCTATCACCCAGAACACACTTAATCCTGAGTAGTATCTGTCCTCCAAAGCTTGGGTCAGCCCAAGATAATGGCTACTAGAGCATCAATTACCCATTATGAAGTGGACTATTATAACTATTGTGGGTTTTGAAGGGGTGAGTTGACAGGTTTATCAAGACATCTTTTTTATTGTGTTAAATATACTAACACAAAATTTACCATTGTAATCATTTTAAAGTGTACAATTCAGTGGCATTAGGTACATTGCCCATGTTTACAACCACCAGCATCTAATTCCAGAACTTTCTCATTAGCTCAAATAGAAACCCTGTACCTTTTAAACAATCAAGCAGTCACTCCTCACTTTACCCTGTCCCCAGCCCTCAGCCCCCAGCCACTGGAAACCACCAATCTGCTTTCTCTCTCTATTGATTTGACTATTCTGAATATTTCATATTGATGAAATTATACAATATGTAGCTTTTCGTGTCTGCATTTTCATTTAGAGTGATGCCATAACATCTGTGGTACTTCATTCCTTTTTTTTTTTTTTTTGAGACGGAGTTTCGCTCTTGTTACCCAGGCTGGAGTACAATGGCGCAATCTCGGCTCACCGCAACCTCCGCCTCCTGGGTTTAGGCAATTCTCCTGCCTCAGCCTCCTGAGTAGCTGGGATTACAGGCATGTGCCACCATGCCCAGCTAATTTTTTTGTATTTTTAGTAGAGATGGGGTTTCACCATGTTGACCAGGATGGTCTCGATCTCTTGACCTCGTGATCCACCTGCCTCGGCCTCCCAAAGTGCTGGGATTACAGGCGTGAGCCACCGCGCCCAGCCTAAAATTTTTAATAGAGACAGAATTTCACCATTTTGGCCAGGCTGGTCTAAAACTCCTGACTTCAAGTGATCCACCCACCTCAGCCTCCTAAAGTGCTGGGATTACAGATTGTGAGCCCATGCTTGGCCTGAATACTTGTTTTTAAAACTGGGAAATTTATACACATAGGAGAATTTCTAGGTCACATGATAATTTGGCTTACCTTTTTTGTTGTTGTTTGTTGTTTTTCTTTCTTTTTTTTTTTTTTTTGAGACGGAGTTTCGCTCTTGTTACCCAGGCTGGAGTGCAATGGCAAGATCTCGGCTCACCGCAACCTCCGCCTCCTGGGTTGAGGCAATTCTCCTGTCTCAGCCTCCTGAGTAGCTGGGATTATTGGCACGCACCACCATGCCCAGCTAACTTTTTGTATTTTTAGTAGAGACGGGGTTTCACCTTGTTGACCAGGATGGTCTCAATCTCTTGACCTCGTGATCCACCCTTCTCGGCCTCCCAAAGTGCTGGGATTACAGGCTTGAACCACCGCGTCCAGCCATTGTTTTTCTCTTTCTTTTTTTTTTTCTGAGATGGAGTTTTGCACTTGTTGCCCAGGCTGGAGAGCAATGGTGCAATCTCGGTTCACCACAGTCTCCACCTACCAGGTTCAAGCAATTCTCCTACCTCACCCTCCCAAGTAGCTGGGATTACAGGCATGCACCACCGTGCCCAGCTAATTTTGTATTTTTAGTACAGAAGGGGTTTCTCCATGTTGGCTAGGCTGCTCTCGAACTCCTGACCTCAGGTGATCTGCCCTCAGCCTCCCAAAGTGCAGGGATTACAGGTGTGAGCCACCATGCCAAGCCGCGCAGTCGCAAGCCATATATCTGATAAAAGCTTATATCCACAATAGATAAAGAAATCTTAGAAATCTACAATAAAAAAACAACCAACCTGCAATTTAAAAATGGGCAAGGTCTCACTCTGTTGCCCAGGCTGGGGTGCAATGGCTCCATCTCGGCTCACTGCAACCTCTGCCTCCCGGGTTCAAGTGATTCTCCTGCCTCAGCCTCCTGAGTAGCTGGGACTACAGGCACGTGCCACCATGCTCAGCTCATTTTGGCATTTTTAGTAGAGACAAGGTTTCACTGTGTTAGCCAGAATGGTCTCAATCTCCTGACCTCATGATCTGCCCGCCTTGGCCTCCCAAAATACTGGGATTACAGGCGTGAGCCACTGTGCCCAGCCTCTCTGCTATAGTTTCTAGACAAAATATCAGTCTGCAGCCCTTGGTAGCCATTTTTCCTGCCACACAGAGAGAACAATTCTACAGCAAGGCAACAAATAGCTGATTCAATAGATGGAGGTGGAGCCCTAGTGACACTGTGGGAGCTCTCAGATGTAATCAACGATAAAGTCAAACAGACCATCAAAACTCAAAGACCAGAGAGTAAAGCCTAATGACCTCCTAGATCCTGCCATGCCTGAAATTAAGATTTGCCTCTTTTTGTTTGTTTTGAGATGGAGTCTCACTTTGTCAGCCAGGCTGGAGTGCAATGGCGCCATCTCTACCCACTGCAACCTCCGCCTCCCAGGATCAAGCAATTTTCCTGCCTCAACCTCCAAAGTAACTGGGACTACAGGTGTGTGCCATCACACCCAGTTAATTTGAATATTTTGAAACCCCGTCCCTACTAAAAATACAAAAAAAAAAATTAGCTGGGCATGGTGGCGCGTGCCTGTAGTCCCAGCTACTCAGGAGGCTGAGGCAGTAGAATTGCCTGAACCCAGGAGGCGGAGGTTGCGGTGAGCCGAGATCGTGCCATTGTACTCCAGCCTGGGTAACAAGAGCGAAACTCCGTCTCAAAAAAAAAATAATAACAATAATAATAATAATAAATAAATAATGAATGAATGGCAGGGTGCAGTGGCTCATGCCTGTAATCCCAGCACTTTGGGAGGCCAGGGCGAGCAAATCACCTGAGGTTGAGAGTTCAATACCAGCCTGACCAACATGGAGAAACCCCGCCTTTACTAAAAATACAAAATTAGCTGGGCGTAGTGGCATGTTCCTGTAATCCCAGCTACTCGGGAGGCTGAAGCAGGAGAATTGCTCGAACCCAGGAGGCAGAGGTTGCAGAGAGACAAGATCATGCCACTGCACTCCCACCTGGGCAACAAGAGCAAAACTCAGTGAAAGGAAAAGAAGAAAAGAAGAGAATAGAAGGAAGGAAGGAAGGAAGGAAGGAGGGAGGGAAGGAGGGAAGGAGGGAAGGAAGGAGAAAGAGAAACAAAAAGAAAGGAAGGGCTGGGCGTGGTGGCTCACGCCTGTAATCCCAGCACTTTGGGAGGCCGAGGCGGGTGGATCACGAGGTCAAGAGATCGAGACCATCCTGGTCAACATGGTGAAACCCCGTCTCTACTAAAAATACAAAAAATTAGCTGGGCATGGTGGCGCGTGCCTGTAATCCCAGCTACTCAGGAGGCTGAGGCAGGAGAATTGCCTGAACCCAGGAGGCGGAGGTTGCGGTGAGCCGAGATCGCGCCATTGCACTCCAGCCTGGGTAACAAGAGTAAAACTTGGTCTCAAAAAAAAAAAAAAGAGAAAGGAAGGAAGGAAGGAAGGAAGGAGAGAGAGCGAGAGTGACAAAGGAGGAGGAAGGACAGAAGGAAGGAAGGAAGGAAGGAAATCAGAAATGAGAAACTACCAATCACAAATGTATAGGGAAAAAATGAAGTACAGTTATATAAGAAAATAATTTACCTTCCAAGAGTTTTTGACATGATGTATTCATCTCTTAATGCTTTAGGATAAATCGACTGATCATCTACAGTCAGATCAAAAAAGACAAAAACTAAGGAAAAAAAGAGTAAAAATGGGCTTCATTAATTTATTCACGAGAAGATCACTGATTCTAAAATTTAATAGTCATATGGAATATAAGACAATTCTTTACTACATTTAACATGTAAACTTAAGGAAATTAATTCAGTAGGCTAATACATATTGTAAAACCCTTGAGGGAAATAAATGATAGTCAAATTTCATGCTTCAATGGAACTATAAGCATCATTCTAATGGTAGTACAGGAAATTCATAACACAACATTATTTATATTCCTTGACCTGAGATTAATCGACTACACCAGTACAAAATGCCTATGCAGATCTCCACAGGCCCAGAATCAGAAAGCAATCAGTCTGAGCCTAGAAAAATGGTCTAGGCAAGTAAACGTCCAAATGAAAATCAGGCCATCAGTATCACCACACTGGCATTATCATCTCTCGGCCATTTATACCTTTACATATCTGGTATTAAGTATTCTGTAGTGCAAAGTACATTCAACATATTTGTAAAGTTAGGTAAATACATTTTTCTAAACAAAATACCTTTTTTATCCATTATTTGGGCTGTATCTAAAAAAAAGTCTAAAAAGATTTTGTTGTTGTTGTCTTTGGAGAGAGTCTCACTCTGTTGCCCAGGCTGGAGTGCAGTGGCATGATCTCGGCTCACTACAACCTCTACCTCAAGGTCAGGAGTTCAAGACCAGCCTAGCCAACATGGTGAAACCCTGTCTCTACTAAAAACACAAAAAATAGCTGGGTGTGGTGACAGGTACCAGTAATCCCAGCTACTTGGCAGGCTAAGGCAGAAGAATCACTTGAACCCGGGAGGTGAAGGTTGCAGTGAGCTGAGATTGCGCCATTGCACTACAGCCTGGGCAACAGGGCAAAACTCCATCTCAAAAACAAAACAAAACAAATATGTCTGGATGGAACTTTTTCATAATTTAATAATGCAACTATGACAAAGAAGTTGAATCTTGAATGCTAACTTACTCATCATTACTCACTTAAACCACACTCTGTAAGGACATGACAAATTTTTCTCCTATGTGGGAGTGAAAAAAAAATTCAGTAACCATAAGATGATATTACCTTTATTTCTGCTTAGTGAAAGTGCAATTTCAGAATTGTTATTCAAAGGACGGCGTTTTCCTTTCCCTACAAGCTCTGTATTTACAAAGGTTCCATTGCCACTATGATCTTCGATGTATGCAATGTAAGAGTTTTTAGGACCCACTTCCTAAAATAGAGAAAATTTTATTTCACACTTTTAAAAGCAAAGATTTATAGTGGGAAAATACCTAAAAGCAATGAATAGATTACCAGCTCTCCTAAATACATGGGTATTTGTCACCTACCCTGAAAATCCGAAAGTGTTTCTTGCTATATGTCCTGTATTTATCTGTTCTTTTCAGCAGTGGTTCATCAAAACAATATTCACAACTTTTGTCCCTCCCAAACCAGTAGTTGTCATTCACACATTCTGTAATACAAAAGCATGCATCTGAGGGCTGTTGAATTTCATGCAACAAATGTGTTTTAAAATTGCTCATAAATGCTACTTGTAGGAAAATAGCCTAAGAAGGCAATCAGAATGATGAATCTGCTTATCATTATAAGATTTTATAGCATTAAAAATTACGAGACAAAAAACATTTACCAACAAGTTTAACCGATGGCAGTTTATCTATAATCACATGGCCAGGGGCAGTGGCTCACACCTGTAATCTCAGCACTTGAGAGGCTGAAGCAGGAGGATCTCTTAACCCCAGGAGTTCATGACCAGCACAGGCACATAGGGGGCACCCATCTCTACCATAAATTTAAAAATTAGCCTGGGAAACATGGTGAAACCCTATCTCTACAAGAAGTAAAAAATCAGCAGGGTATGGTGGTGGGTCCCTGTGGTCTCAGATACTCAGGAGGCTGAGATGGGAGGATCGCTTAAGCCTGGGAGGTTGAGGCTGGAGTGAGCTGAAATAGCGCCACTGCACACTAGCCTGGAGGTGACAGAATTAAATTGTGTTTCCTTTTTTTTTGAGACTGAGTTTTGCTGGTTACCCAGGCTGGAGTGCAACGGTGCGATCTCGGCTCACCACAACCTCCGCCTCCTGGGTTCAGGCAATTCTCCTGCCTCAGCCTCCTGAGTAGCTGGGATTACAGGCACACGCCACCGTGCCCAGCTAATTTTTTGTATTTTTAGTAGAGACGGGGTTTCATCATGTTGACCAGGACGGTCTCGATCTCTTGACCTCGTCATCCACCTGCCTTGTCCTCCCAAAGTGCTGGGATTACAGGCGTAAGCCTCCGTGCCCAGCTCCTTTTTTTTTTTTTGAGACAGAGTCTTGCTCTGTCACCAGGCTGCAGTGCACCAGCGAAATCTCGGCTCACTGCAACTTCTGCTTCCTGGGTTCAAGCAATTCCCCTGCCTTAGGCCCCTCAAGTAGCTGAGACTACAGGAGTGCATCACCATGCCCGGCTAATTTTATGTCTTTTAGTAGAGATGGGGTTTCACCATGTTGGGATTCCGAAAGTGCTGGGATTACAGGCGTGAACCACTGCACCTGGCCTGACCCTGTTTCAAAAAATTAACCAGATGTGGTGGTTATATACCTATAGTTGCAACTACTCAAGAGGCTGAAGCAGGAGGGTAACTTGAGCCTGAGGAGTTGATGCTAGAGTGGGCTGTGATCCTGCCACTGCACTCTAGCCTGGGCAACAGAGCAAGACTTTTCTCAAAAAAATTAACAAATATATATATTAAATATTTATTTAATGTTTATTATATATGTAATTTGCATTATACATATATATTTGTTTATTATATAAGTTGCCTTAAATATAATTACGTATTTATATATAAAATAATGTATTGTATATTTATAACATATTTTATATATTATAGTATATATGTAATATACATGCAAATATATGCAAAATATATATTATAAATATATAGTATATATTGTAAAATAATCTAATGTTATATGTGTATATATATATATGCTCACATACATATATACACATACATACGTATATAAAACCATGAAAAACAAATAGTCATTAAAAGTTCTGGAGTAATTTTCTTTTTTTTTTTTTTTTTGAGACGGAGTTTCGCTCTTGTTACCCAGGCTGGAGTGCAATGGCGCGATCTCGGCTCACCGCAACCTCCGCCTCCTGGGTTCAGGCAATTCTCCTGCCTCAGCCTCCTGAGTAGCTGGAATTACAGGCACACGCCACCATGCCCAGCTGATTTTTTTGTATTTTTAGTAGAGACGGGGTTTCACCATGTTGACCAGGATGGTCTCGATCTCTTGACCTCGTGATCCACCCGCCTCGGCCTCCCAAAGTGCTGGGATTACAGGCTTGAGCCACCACGCCCAGCCTCTGGAGTAATTTTTAATGACTCGGACAATACAGTAACTTCCTGCTTATTACCTTCCTGAGGCTTTCCACAACACTTAGCATAAAATCTGCACACTTCATCATGGCCTATCAGATGTTTAGGGTCTGGCCCTGCCACCATGCCAGCCCCACCTCACACCTCTCTCCCCTTGCTCATGACACCCAGCGCTACAGGCCTCCTTTCACTACCCCCAAGAGTGCTGGGTTCAACCTACTTTCTGGTCTTAGCACTTCTTCCCCAACTACCTGAATGGCTCATTCCACCTTGCCTTTTATATAGATACTATCTACACAACATGATCTGCCTTTTGGACTCTACTATCATCTCCTACTCAGCTTTCTATATAAACATTACTCACCTGCTATCATAATGTTATCCTGTTGCATTTCTTTTTGAGTATGAGCCACAACTGGAAATTACTTGCTTATTTGTATATTTTCTTCCCACCTCCCCAAATTAGAACATAACCTCCAGGAGGGCAGCTGGAGACCTCTTGTTTAACAGCACAACTCCAACACTTGGAACACTGCATACAGCAGGCAATTAAATGCTCATTGCAAGACAGACTAGAGAAAATATTAGTAACTCCTATCAGGAAAAGTACTAATTTCCCTAATCAATGTTAAGTTCCTATAAATCAACAAGAAAGATACACCGAGCCCAGGTGCAGTGGCTCAAGCCTGTAATCCCAGCACTTTGGGAGGCCGAGGCGGGTGGATCATGAGGTCAAGAGATCGAGACCATCCTGGCCAACATGGTGAAACCCCGTCTCTACTAAAAATACAAAAAATTAGCTGGGCATAGTGGCGCGTGCCTGTAGTCCCAGCTACTCAGGAGGCTGAGGCAGGAGAATTGCCTGAACCCCCAGGAGGCGGAGGTTGCAGTGAGCTGAGATCGCAACATTGCACTCCAGCCTGGGTAAGGAGCGAAACTCCGTCTCAAAAAAAAAAAAAAAAAAAGAAACATACACCGTCCAGTAGAACAATGGGTAAAGGACATTAAAAGATAATTTGGCCGGGCGCGGTGGCTCAAGCCTGTAATCCCAGCACTTTGGGTGGCCAAGGTGGGTGGATCACAAGGTCAAGAGATCGAGACCATCCTGGTCAACATGGTGAAACCCCGTCTCTACTAAAAATACAAAACATTAGCTGAGCATGGTGGCGCGTGCCTGTAATCCCAGCTACTCAGGAGGCTGAGGCAGGAGAATTGCCTGAACCCAGGAGGCGGAGGTTGTGGTGAGCGGAGATCGCGTCATTGCACTCCAGCCTGGGTAACAAGAGCGAAACTTCGTCTAAAAAAAAAAAGATAATTTACAAGAAACAGAAATGCAACTGGCTCAGATATATGAAAGGTGGCCAAGCCAACTCAATATAAGAAAATTTAGAAATCAAAAACACATTAACACTTATTGTTTTTTTTGTTTTTGTTTTTGTTTTTTGAGATGGAGTTTCGCTCTTGTTACCCAGGCTGGAGTGCAATGGCGCGATCTCGGCTCACCGCAACCTCCGCCTCCTGGGTTCAGGCAATTCTCCTGCCTCAGCCTCCTGAGTAGCTGGGATTACAGGCACACGCCCCCATGCTCAGCTAATTTTTTGTATTTTTAGTAGAGACGGGGTTTCACCATGTTGACTAGGATGGTCTCGATCTCTTGACCTCGTGATCCACCCGCCTCGGCCTCCCAAAGTGCTGGGATTATAGGCGTGAGCCACCGCGCCTGGCAACACTTCATGTTTTACTTATTAGATTAGCAAAAATCCAAAAATTTCATATCACCCTGTGCTGCAAGAGGTACAAAAAAGAGGGTAATCTCATGCATTGCCAGTGAGAATTTATACACACATTGTATATAATTGGCTAGGGAGGACAATTTAGCAAGATCTATCAAAACTACATATGGGCTGCATGCAACAGCTCGTGCCTGTAATCCCAGTATTTTGGGAGGCCGAGGAAGGAGGATCACTTGAGCCAAGAAGTCCAGGCTACAGTGAGCTGTGATTGTACCACTCACCTCAGGGTGACAGAGTGAGACCCTGTCTCTAAAAAGAAAGAAAAAGAAAATCAACAAACCCAAATTAGTTACTTAAAAAGATCGACAGGTTAGCAAATCTTTTTTTTTTTTTTTTTTTTTGAGATGGAGTTTCGCTCGTTACCCAGGCTGGAGTGCAATGGCGCGATCTCGGCTCACTGCAACCTCCGCCTCCTGGGTTCAGGCAATTCTCCTGCCTCAGCCTCCTGAGTAGCTGGGATTACAGGCACGTGCCACCATGCCCAGCTAATTTTTTGTATTTTTAGTAGAGGCGGGGTTTCACCATGTTGACCAGGATGGTCTTGATCTCCTGACCTTGTGATCCACCCGCCTCGGCCTCCCAAAGTGCTGGGATTACAGGCTTGAGCCACCGCGCCCAGCACTTTTTTGTATTTTTAGTAGAGACGGGGTTTCACCATGTTGACCAGGATGGTCTCGATCTCTTGACTTTGTGATCCACCCGCCTCGGCCTCCCAAAGTGCTGGGATTACAGGCTTGAGCCACCGTGCCCAGCCAACAGGTTAGCAAATCTTAAGACAGCTTAAGGAAAAAAGAGACAAGACTCAAATTACTAAAATCTTTTTTTTGTTTGTTTTTTAAAGGTGGGGTTTCACCATGATGGCCAGGCTGGTCTTGAACTCCTGACCTCAGGTGATTCACCCACCTCAGCCTCCCAAAGTGCTAGGATTACAGGCGTGAGCCACAGCACCCGGACCAAATTACTAAAATCAGAATGAGAGAGGTAATTACTACTGATCTGACAGAAATAGAAATGATTTAAAAAGAATAATACGAAGAATTTTGTGACAATATTAGATGACATAGGTGAAATGGACAAACTCCTGGAAAGATACAAACTACCAAAATTAACACAAGAAGAAACAGAAAATCTGAATATACCCATAAAAAGCGAAATGACTGAATGATAATATTAGCACTTCGGGAGGCAAAAACAGGCGGATTGCCTAAGTTCCAGAGTTCGAGATCAGCCTGGGCAACATGGCAAAAACCCATCTCTACTAAAAATACCAAAAAAAAAAGGGCCAGGCAA